TCGTGTCCATGACCTTCATCTTCATCCTGTTTCCATCATCTTAATCACCATCATCTTCATCACCATCTTGAGGTTCTTCATCTGCTCCATCATCCTCCTCATCTTTTTCATCTCCATGACCTTCATCTTTATCCTCTTCCCGTCATCTTCATCACCGTCTTCTTGAGGTTCTTCACCTCCATCATCTTCCTCACCTTCTCCATCTCCATGACCTTCGTCTTCATCCTGTTCCCGTCATCTTCTTCATCCCCATCATCTTCATCCCCATCATCTTCCTCACCATCTCCTTGAGGTTCTTCACCTCCTCCATCGTCCTCCTCATCTTCTTCATGTTCATGACCTTCATCTTCATCCTCTTCCCATCATCTTCTTCGTCCCCATCATCTTCATCCCCATCATCTTCATCCCCATCATCTTTCTCACCATCTCCTTGAGGTTCTTCATCTGCTCCATCATCTTCCTCGTCTTCTCCATCTCCATAACTTTCGTCCATGTCTTGTTCCCGTCATCTTCTTCATCACCATCATCTTCATCACCATCTCCTTGAGGTTCTTCACCTCCTCCATCATTTTCCTCACCTTCTCCATCTCCATGACCTTCATCTTCATCCTGTTCCCATTGTCTTCATCGCCATCTCCTTGAGGTTCTTCACCTCCTCCATCATCCTCCTCATCTTCTTCGTGTCCATGACCTTCATCTTCATCCTGTTTCCATCATCTTGATCACCATCATCTTCATCACCATCTTGAGGTTCTTCATCTCCTCCATCATCCTCCTCATCTTCATTTCCATGACCTTCATCTTCATCCTCTTCCCATCATCTTCTTCGTCCCCATCATCTTCATCCCCATCATCTTCATCCCCATCATCTTTCTCACCATCTCCTTGAGGTTCTTCATCTGCTCCATCATCTTCCTCGTCTTCTCCATCTCCATAACTTTCGTCCATGTCTTGTTCCCGTCATCTTCTTCATCACCATCATCTTCATCACCATCTCCTTGAGGTTCTTCACCTCCTCCATCATCCTCCTCATCTTTTTCATCTCCATGACCTTCATCTTTATCCTCTTCCCGTCATCTTCATCACCGTCTTCTTGAGGTTCTTCACCTCCATCATCTTCCTCACCTTCTCCATCTCCATGACCTTCGTCTTCATCCTGTTCCCGTCATCTTCTTCATCCCCATCATCTTCATCCCCATCATCTTCCTCACCATCTCCTTGAGGTTCTTCACCTCCTCCATCGTCCTCCTCATCTTCTTCATGTTCATGACCTTCATCTTCATCCTCTTCCCATCATCTTCTTCGTCCCCATCATCTTCATCCCCATCATCTTCATCACCATCTTGAGGTTCTTCACCTCCTCCATCATTTTCCTCACCTTCTCCATCTCCATAATCTTCATCTTCATCCTGTTTCCATCATCTTCTTCATCCCCATCATCTTCATCGCCATCTTCTTGAGGTTCTTCACCTCCTCCATCATCTTCCTCACCTTCTCTATCTCCGTGGCCTTCATCCCCATCGTGTTCCCATCATCTTCATCACCATCTTGAGGTTCTTCATCTTCTCCATCATCTTCCTCATCTCTTCTATCTCCATAACCTTCATCCCCATCCCATTCCCGTCATCTCCATCATCTTCCTCACCTTCTTCATCTCCATGACCTTCATCCCCATCGTGTTCCCATCATCTTCATCATCTTTTTGGTCACCATCATCTTCATCACCATCTCCTTGAGGTTCTTCATCTCCTCCATCATCTTCCTCCCCTCTTCCATCTCCATGACCTTCATCTTCATCCCCTTTCCATCATCTTCATCACCGTCATCTTCATCATCATGTCCTCGAGGTTCTTCACCTCCTCCATCATCTTCCTCACCTTCTCTGTCCCCGTGGCCTTCATCCCCATCCCGTTCCCATCATCTCCATCATCTTCCTCACCTTCTCCATCCCCGTGGCCTTCATCCCCATCCCCTTCCCATCATCTTCATCATCTTCTTGAGGTTCTTCACCTCCTCCATCATCTTCCTCACCTTCTCCATCTCTATGACCTTCATCCCCATCCCATTCCCGTCATCTCCATCATCTTCCTCACCTTCTCCATCCCCGTGGCCTTCATCCCCATCGTGTTCCCATCATCTTCATCATCTCCTTGAGGTTCTTCATCTCCTCCATCATCTTCCTCACCTTCTCCGTCCCCGTGGCCTTCATCCCTATCCCATTCCCATCATTTCCATCATCTTCTTGGTCACCATCATCTTCATCACCATCTCCTTGAGGTTTTTCATCTCCTCCATCATCTTCCTCCCCTCCTCCATCTCCATGACCTTCATCTTCATCCCCTTTCCATCATCTTCATCACCGTCATCTTCATCATCATGTCCTCGAGGTTCTTCACCTCCTCCATCATCTTCCTCGTCTTCTCCATCTCCATGACCTTCATCTTCATCCTGTTCCCGTCATCTTCTTCATCCCCATCATCTTCATCCCCATCATCTTCCTCACCATCTCCTTGAGGTTCTTCACCTCCTCCATCATCTTCCTCATCTTCTTCATTTCCGTGACCTTCATCCTGTTTCCATCATCTTGATCACCATCATCTTCATCACCATCTTGAGGTTCTTCACCTCCTTCATCATCCTCCTCATCTTCTTCATTTCCATGACCTTCATCTTCATCCTCTTCCCATCATCTTCTTCGTCCCCATCATCTTCATCCCCATCATCTTCATCCCCATCTCCTTGAGGTTCTTCATCTGCTCCATCATCCTCCTCATCTTCTCCATCTCCATAACTTTTGTCCACGTCCTGTTCCCATCATCTTCTTCATCCCCATCATCTTCATCACCGTCTTACTGAGGTTCTTCACCTCCTCCATCATCCTCCTCATCTTCTTCGTGTTCATGACTTTCATCTTCATCCTGTTTCCATCATCTTGATTACCATCATCTTCATCACCATCTTGAGGTTCTTCATCTGCTCCATCATCCTCCTCATCTTTTTCATCTCCATGACCTTCATCTTTATCCTCTTCCCGTCATCTTCATCACCGTCTTCTTGAGGTTCTTCCCCTTCTCCATCATCTTCCTCACCTTCTCCATCCCCGTGGCCTTCATCCCTATCCCGTTCCCGTCATCTCCATCATCTTCCTCACCTTCTCCATCCCCGTGGCCTTCATCCCCATCCCCTTCCCATCATCTTCATCATCTTCCTCACCTTCTCTATCTCCGTGACCTTCATCCCCATCGTGTTCCCATCATCTCCATCATCTTCCTCACCTTCTCTATCTCCATGACCTTCATCCCCATCGTGTTCCCATCATCTCCATCATCTTCCTCACCTTCTCCATCTCCATGACCTTCATCCCCATCCCGTTCCCATCATCTCCATCATCTTCTAGAGGTTCTTCACCTCCTCCATCATCTTCCTCACCTTCTCCATCCCCGTGGCCTTCATCCCCATTGTGTTCCCATCATCTTCATCGTTGTCTTCTAGAGGTTCTTCACCTCCTCCATCATCTTCCTCACCTTCTGCATGTCCATAACTTTCATCCCCATCCCATTCCCGTCATCTCCATCATCTTCCTCACCTTCTTCATCTCCATGACCTTCATCCCCATTGTCTTCCCATCATCTTCATCATCTCCTTGAGGTTCTTCATCTCCTCCATCATCTTCCTCATCTCTTCTATCTCCATGACCTTCATCCCCATCCCATTCCCGTCATCTCCATCATCTTCCTCACCTTCTCCATCTCCATGACCTTCATCCCCATCGTGTTCCCATCATCTTCATCATCTCCTTGAGGTTCTTCATCTTCTCCATCATCTTCCTCACCTTCTCCATCTCCATGACCTTCATCCCCATCCCATTCCCGTCATCTCCATCATCTTCCTCACCTTTTCCATCCCCGTGGCCTTCATCCCCATCGTGTTCCCATCATCTCCATCATCTTCCTCACCTTCTCTGTCTCCATGACCTTCATCCCCATCGTGTTCCCATCATCTTCATCATCTCCTTGAGGTTCTTCATCTCCTCCATCATCTTCCTCATCTCTTCTATCTCCATGACCTTCATCCCTATCCCATTCCCATCATTTCCATCATCTTCTTGGTCACCATCATCTTCATCACCATCTCCTTGAGGTTTTTCATCTCCTCCATCATCTTCCTCCCCTCCTCCATCTCCATGACCTTCATCTTCATCCCCTTTCCATCATCTTCATCACCGTCATCTTCATCATCATGTCCTCGAGGTTCTTCACCTCCTCCATC